TAATCAATAGTCATCCCCAAGGATGAACAAGGCCCTTTGGAGGGTGGGTTTACTTGGGGTCCCCCATCCTAATTCTGACCACATGCATAGAACAGTGTTCAGCAAACTATGGTCTGTGAGCAAAATCCAGCCCATTGTTTTTTATATGGCTGGAGAACTAAGAAAGGTTTTTATGTTTTTAAATGGTTAAAAAGGCAAAAGAATGATATTTTGCGACCCACAAAAATTGTATGAGATTTAAATTTCAGTGTCCTTAAATAAAAATAAGGTTAAGAACAAAACTCCAAGGAGCACCAATATTTAAAAAGTAGCTGAAAGAAGGTAGTACAGGAATGAGATTGAGAAGGAGATGCCCAAGAAGGAAGAAGGAAAGCTAGGAAGAAACTGGGAGCACACTCATGCTCTTTCATTTACGTGTTGCCCGTGGCTGTTTTTGAGCCAGGCTGAGTACTGAGTGGTCAACAAAGCCTAAAATATATACTATCTGGTCCTTAATGGCAAAAGTTTGGTGCCACCCTGCGCGGCTGTGTGCCATATAACAGGGGTCTCCAACCTCGGGCCGTGGACCGTGGCCTGTTAGGAACTGGACCACAAGCAGGAGGTGAGTGGTGGATGAGCCGGCAGTGAAGCTTCATCTGCATTTTCATCAGCTCCCCAGTGCTAGCATCACCGCCTCAGCTCCACCTCAGATCATCAGGCATTAGATTCTCATAGGAGCACCGGTCCCTGGTGCCAAAAATATTGGGGACTGCTGCCATATATTACCTCCTTCAGTCCTGGTAATGTCACAGCCTTCCTTTCTACTTTCCTAGAGGCCTGAATCTTCCCACTGCAGGAACAACTGATGGGTTAGTCCACAAAGGGAGGGACATTAGGAAAATGTTCCTCTGGTTTTTAGAGGGTAACACAATGATTTCCAACTCTGCTTCTACCCTGACACTCTGCTCACCCCTCCTTCCCCTACACTAGTGTTTCAGAGTTCATGGGGTTTTTGTTTTGTGCTGTTATTGCTATTATTTGTTTTTCGAAAAGGAATATGGATTTTGAAAGTCTCAAATATGAATTATATTCACAAAGATTAATTTCTAAGATTACTTAATTGCCACATTCGTTCTTTCTCACTGCATCTTCCCCCACCCCTTATGTCTTTCTCTTCTACTCTATCAAACTTGCAGCATATACGCTGACAGTTTCTTCCTCACTTCCCACTTACTTCTCAGCCCACCACAATCTGGAGTCGACTCCCACTACAACACTGAAACTGCTCTCAGTAAATTTGTCAACCATCTCATAATTACTAAATCTAAGGACACTCTCCAGTCCTTCCTTGATTTCTAAGTAGCACTTGGTAGGGCTGACTTTGCCCTTCTTCATGGAACACCTCTGTTTCTCTGAATCTGCTTCTGCCTTGTTATTCTAGCTGGTTGCTGCTGGTGCCACCAGATTCTTACAAATTAGTACATTTCAGTGTTTTGGCCTAGTGTCAGTACCTGGCTCATCTTCCTCTACTGTGTTCTGTACTACTCAGCCTAGGAGTCTGCAAGGTCTGTACTTACCAGCCTTCCTGGCCAGTTATTTGGCTTCTTGTTTGATTCTCTCAATAGGAAGCAGGAGGTCAGAAGGCAGGAAAAACCAAGAAGCTTCCTGCTTTAGTTTCTAGCAGTGGCAATTGCTGGTTGCTATAGCAGCAGTGAGAACCAGGTGATTCTGGACTCTAGCCTCCTGGTCAGATGAAGCACCTTCTAAATGACCCAGCCTTTTTAGAGGGGGTGCCTTTTCAGTAGATTGAGAACTAACTATAACAGCGTCTCTCTCAGGGTAACAGCAGGTATGGACATGGATTCCAGCTCAGGGGCAATAGCAGCTTCTGATTTCCAGGTATTCCTCTTTTCTATTTGCACCTGTAGCCACTCTCCTTTTCACTTTTACACTCATGCCTTTTTAACACTTTTGTCACGAGTTCTCTCAGACTGAAATATCTCCAGTGGTTATAAATTCCTGACTGGATCCTGGATCCTGACTGGTATGAGATTTGGGGTTTGAACTCACTTAGATTTATGTCCTTGTGTCACTTCTCGCTTATCTGCACAGTTCACTTGGGTGATCTTATCTGCCACCTATGCCTCAACATTTGTGCTGATGACTCTTAAGTAAAGGTTCTTCAGCACACAGCTGAAATCCATACCTATCTACATCACACCTCCTGCTTGGCTGTTCCATGGGCATCAGAAAGTCAACATGTACAAAACCGAGTGAATGAATTCTCTTCTTCATCAAACCTGCTTCTATGGCATTCTTTTGTATTTCAATTCAGTCCATCACTGACCACCCATCCAGCTGCCCAATCTAGAATCCTGAATGTTATCCTGGCCCCTCCATCTCACCTTCCCACATCTAATCAGTAGCCAAGCCCTGTAGACTCTACATCTCAATTACCTCAATTTTCAATTCCCCCATCTCCTCTGCTCATGACTTAATTCGGGATCTTGTCATTTCTCACCTAAATTTTTGCTGTATTACTACAAGAGGGAAGTGGTTGTGTGTGTGTGCGTGTGTGTATGTGTGCGTGCACAACTTTTTTTTGATACATACCACAGACTGTTGACCAGCAATTTTGCCTCAATTCTTTCTAAGCTCCAGTCCATTCTTCAAAATATTGGAACAGTTCTTTTAAGAAGTATTGAAATGGTTGTGTGGTCCTTGGTTTTAATATCTTCATCATCTGCTAAGTAAAAGCCATACCCTCCTTATAGCATAACAGGACTTATGTGATCTGGTTCTTGCCTAAATTTCTAGCTCATCTTGACACTCCCTCCCTGCTCCCATTACAAAACAGGAAAACATGAGCCGTCTCCACAACATTCATATCCAACTTCACAGAGGTCTCCAAAGGAAGGAGCTCTGAATGGCTTTGAGTTTTACACATTTGCCTGTCCTTTGACCTGGAATGCCTTTCTCTTCTCCCATGTTCTGCTGGTCAAATTGTTTTTCCTTCAAGACTCTTGGAAGCCTTCCTGATAATGTCTTACCTCTTCCTTCACCTTCATGAAATTACTACTTCTGAAAACACTTGGCACATTCTTATTTGAATACATTACGTTGCTGTGTATTTATTCTTTGACTCCCCCTGCCACCACCACCACTTGACTTTAAGCTCTTTGAAGGTAGGAATATTTAGCACTTATTACATTTTCACTATAGTTATGCAGAACAAATTAGAGCTAATGCCTGAAGCAGAATAGCTCTCTGAGAAAGAGGAAGGGGCCAGGAGGGAGGAAATCCCTGGGGCTTGCTGTAAGAAGAGGTGCTTCCCCACTGCAGCATTCTGGCACAGGGTGGCGCTGCTCTGAAGAGTCTGTGGGTTGGATTACAGGCTGAAGCTGACTTCAGGGATCCCCGCCAGGAGGCAGATATTCCTCTACACTTAACCCATCCCAGTTACACACCCCACTCTGGCCTGGTGAAAGAGCCGTCTTCAGGAGGTTGCTTGCCCCAGGCTTTTCTCCCCAGTGACTGATGATGTTAAACCTTTCATTTTTGTGATTGGTTGAGCCAAAATGGCAAGGACACTATTGGAAGCGATCCGGCAGAACAGTGCTCTGGGGAGGGAGTTTAGGGACCTGGGTCAGCTGGTTGGTAGCTCCTAGACCACTGTGTGGATAAAGCTATGGATTATGAACTGAGCCAGGGAGCTGCGCTGCTATGGCTGCTACCCTTTCTGTGGCTGCTGCCTCACTCCTGGACCGCCCCCCAAGGTATGACAGTGCCTCCCCTTTACTTCAATTCTAATGAGGCTAGAGCCTAAGGAGCCAACCCAGAGCGTTTGAAGAAGAGCCCTCTGTGTTGTGGCGGGAAATACTGTGGGATAGTGGAAACTAGCAGAATTGGGGAAAGGAGCTACTATGAATGGACAGCCAACAATGTCAGGGTGCTTTATATATTTAAGAATCTCTCTAAGAGATTACATCAGTTTTACAGATGAAGAAGATGAAACTCAGAGTTTAAGTAACTTGTGCAAGTTCACACAGTTGGAAAGTGGTAGAGCTGGGATTTGAGCAAAGCAAATATTATTTGTACTGTTCTACTCAAGAGTCTATTCTACACTCTGTCATCAACTCACCTTGTGATTCTTGAAAAGTCTCTTATCTTTATTGGTCCTTAATTTCCTTATCTGAAAAGGATGGGGGCAGAATGGAAGAATAATCTGGAAGATCCCTCTTACTCTATTATTCTAGGTATTGAGTATTGGGTAGAAGATTTCCTATTGGCTGGAACTTCCTGCCAGAAGTTTCAGAGAATAAGAATTATTTCTTGCAGCTATGGGGTCACTTCCCCTGGTCCTGTCATTGCAAGGGCTGGAAGGTTGAGAGAGGAGAAGATGTTTTTAGAGGGGCCTGCCTGGTGCCAGTATAGTGGCAGAAAAGAAGCCTGGAGACTGGTTTTTCAGTTTACCATGTGTGTCTGGGCACAGGAGGGGACAGTGTCATCTATAGCTTGGGGAGGCCATGACCATTCCTTTGCCCTCCCTTCTCAGACTGGAGAACCCATCCAGGCCCTTTGCAAATCAGTGTGGTGGTCTTCTGTGAATTAGACAAAGGTCTCCCCTTTGGACAGATGCAGCCCTGTGCCAGGATGCATGGCTTGGTGAGCAGAATGCAGGGTAGATTTCAGCTTCCAACTACCTCTTTGGCTGGGTGCCTTTGTGCAGTGCGCAGACACACAATACCATTATGACTCTGAATCTGTCACTTTAGAGAGTAGACCATTTCTACTTTTTACAACTTTAGACAACTGGCCTTTTTATGGGCAGAGGTAGTTTGGAGAGATACTATAATTTCTTTTTCGCTCCTTCTGGGTGGGAGAGCCTAAGTAACAGACACTAGAGGGGGTTATACTTCACCCCTACCATTCTCCTTCAAGCAGGCCTGGCTGTTTTCTAAGCTAAGGAGGAGGAAGAGGAGGCTCCTACCTGCCTGAACTCTACCCTGTCTCCTTTGCAGCTCCTACTCCAAGATGGCAGGATGATCTGCAAAACCACACATTCCTGCACACGATGTACTGTCAGAACGCGAGTCCCAGTGTGGCACTCTCTGAGAGCTACGACGAGGACCAGCTTTTCTCCTTCGACTTTTCCCAGAACATTCGAGTGCCTCGCCTGCCTGAATTTGCTGACTGGGCTCAGAAGTCTGAAGATATTTCCACCATTTTCTTTGACAAAGGATTCTGCCAAGCCATGATCCATGAAATCGGCCCACGACTTGAAGGGCAAATCCCAGTGTCTAGAGGTCAGGGGTTTTTTTGGGGGGTTGGGGTTGGGGCTGCATTCTTAACCTCATTAATCTATAGACTGAATTATTCCCCTTCACATAGCTCCCTGCCTCTGGTGCCTCCTGGTCCTCCTCTAGGACCTTTAGTTTTCTACAAGCCTTGGGCTGCACTCTGTTTTTGCTGTGGGGCAGAACGCAAGTGCCTAGGATGTAGAGGCAGTCAAAACTATTCATTTAACTTGATGAATTCAGCAGGGAGCAATTGATACCGACAGAATATTAGTGTTTGTTTTACTATGCTCAGCAAGATAGAATAGAAGAATGGAAGCGTCTGATGATGTGCCTGTGTTTTAATGAGAAGACAGCGTGTGATTAGATGCCATTGTGAGGTCTAGACAGGAAGTCCTGCAGGAAGTCAGGGTGGATGGGTCCAGAGTGGCTTGGATCTGGCCCTTCCTGTAAGTCCAGCTCTGGTTCTTGCCTGGAAGAAGACCCCTTCAGAACCCCAGCACCTCCTTCATCTCTCCCCACAAAGCCCAACCCCACTGACACTGTCTCTGCCCATCCCTCTGTATGCCATGTCCCTTCTAAACACTGGGTTACCATCAAAACTAGTCCCTTCTTTCCCTCACTTCTCAATCTCCCCACCAGGGATTCCTGTTGCTGAGGTGTTCACTCTGAAGCCACTGGAGTTTGGCAAGCCCAACACACTGGTCTGTTTTGTCAGTAATCTCTTCCCGCCCGCATTGACAGTGAACTGGCAGCATCATTCAGCCCCTGTGGAAGGAGTCGGGCCCACTTATGTCTCAGCCATTGATGGACTCAGCTTTCAGGCCTTTTCTTACTTAAACTTCACACCGGTACCCTCTGACATTTTCTCCTGCATCGTGACTCATGAAATTGACAGCCACACAGCAATTGCCTATTGGGGTGAGACCCATCTCCTTGGAATACTGGTTCATTTTGGGGATAAAAGGGGATAGACCCATGGGAGCGCCTTCTTGGACCTCTACTTGGACCTTGTTTAGTCCATTCTCACTCTGAGCCAACCTCAGTCTTCTGTGCCTCGGTTTCTCCTTTGTCATCCCAGATACCCACATAACTCCCCTGAGTGGGGGGGCTCCCCTCCCCACCCCCGAAAAACAAGCTGCTCTTGTTTTTCTCCAGTGCCCCAGAACGCATTGCCCTCAGATCTTCTGGAGAATGTGCTGTGCGGCGTGGCCTTTGGCCTGGGTGTGCTGGGCATCATAGTTGGCTTGGTCCTCATTATCTACTTCCGAAAGCCTTGCTCAGGTGGTATGTTGGGGCATATGGAGGGTCTGAGTGGGCCGTGGGAGCTATACAGTGGTGCATGTGTGGGTGTGCCAGAATTATCCTGTGGCATGAGGAGAACTTATAGCGATCCTCAGGTCCTTGAGTGGGGAGTCATGTATTGGGCACTGTGGGGCATCCTTGTTAGGGTCCCAGTTACACACATACAGGTAAGGGTCACAGGAATGGCTTTGAGTAAGAGAGGAATGATATGGGGCGCTATAGGAAGAGTGCTTGGAGATGATTTGGGGACAAGGAGAGATCAACTTCTGTAGTGTGTGCTGCAGGCAGGGAGGGGTCTTTGGGGAGGAGTGGGATCCCCCTGATGGCTTTTCTCCATCCTTTCTCCTCAGACTGAGTCTTCCTGGCCAGAGTCTGATGCCAGCAACTTTGGCCATCCTAGCAGAGGGTGCTCAGGTTTCTCATCTCCTGCTCAAGATTGCTTCTTTTCAGAGCAGAAGGCCTTGGGACTCCGTGTGTGTGTGTGTGTGTGTGTGTGTGTGTGTGTGTGTGCGTGCGCGCGCGCACACATGCATTTATGTGTATACGTGTTTCTCAACTGAGGCTCTGCTGTCCCATGGCTTATATCCAGGGGAACCCAGAGTGGGCTTCCTATCATGACCACATCCCTTCTCACGTCAAGGTAATAAATCTCATTACTTCATATCCGTGTGGCTTCTTTTTTAACTCGTGCTATTTGTTTCTGGATATCTCAAATTGAGTGGGTTGTCATTTCAAATTCAACATACCTTAACCTGACAACAGCTTGCCCTCATTAGGGAGGGAAATGGGAAAACCCCTAACTCCTCAGTTGCCTCCCGTTCCCTGGTCTCAGCACTACACAATGGCTTTTACTCCTATCAGTTTGTGCAAAATATGTGGGAAATGAAGGTAGAGCTACTTTCTGAAAATCTGCTCACAAAATGGTGAAGGGAACAGCTCGTGGGTTTTATTTATTTATTTTTGTACTTTCTTTACTGTGTGTGAAAATGTTTATGTCTAGCATAGGCTGCTTTGAGAAATGTATAACTTTCTTTAACCTTCCATATAGCTAGGGAAACAGGAGCTCAGGAGTGGGGAAAAATAAGCCTTCAGATGCTATACTAACTGAGTCATATCATGTCAGACAGTATGAGAAAACTCCTGAGGTGAAGTTTGAGCAGCCTGGAAGGGCCCAGAATTCACATGTCCTTCTAAATGATCCGTTCTTTGGCCTGAGTGGATCGTCCAAGGCAAGCTGTGGGGTGGATAGTGGGGGAAGGGGTACATGAGTACTGGGGATAAATTATTTTGCATGTGTTTTGCTTCTTGCTTTCTTTAGGGTCTGGGAGTTGCTTTGGGGGAGGAGGTGGCATTAAGGTTAAGAGTGAAATTATTTTGGTATTGGTGAGGGAGTCTCTGTTCTTTGCACTGTGCCAGAATCTAATCTAAGGGAAGATATTCAGTTCTTTCCAGGAGTTGGTACTTCTGTGAACCACCTCATTTCTGAGAGCAGTGTGTATACTGGTTAAGAATACGGGCTATAGCACCAGACTGCTGGGAATTCAATCGTGATTGTCAAATTTAGCTGTGTACCTTTGGGCAAGTTACTTAACCTCCCTATGTCTTATCATTTTCTGAAATAGGAAGGTGATAACAATAGTGCCCACCTTAACAGAGTTGTTGTGAAACTTAATTAAGTCAATATCTATAGCATACTTAGAACAAGGATTTTCATAAGGGAACTCTGCAGCATCATTGACTTCTTTCTCTTTTCTGGAATCTACTTTGAATCTACCCTCAGTTGTATTTTCTCCCTTTGAGATGTTTTTCTTTTTCTTTTCACTTTACCATTCTACATGTTATTGCTTTCTACTTCTTCTTGATTTCTCTCTATTTTCTAACTTATGCAAGAATTCCTGCCAGTTGAGCCTTAAAGCTGCTTTTGTTATGCCATGTGACCTTAGACAAGTCACATCCCCTCTCTGGGCCTCAAATTCCTCATCTGTAAAATGATCAGCTTAGGTTAGATGCTCTCTGATTGAGCATTCTATTAGACTGTCACTTAAAATACTAGAGAAGCATTCAAGACCCTCTTTACTCTGGTGTCCCCTTCTAATAAAAAATACTATGCACTCTTCCCAGTGGGAGTCTTACTCTTCAGTGAATCAGTTTTCACCCTCTTCCATGACAATATCATGTCTTTCTTCACTTTAGGGCATTTGCCCAGGATTTTTCCTCTCATTGGAATACCTTCTTTATTCTGCTCTGCTTATTCCCATCTTAACACTGTAGAGCAAACCCAAGTTTGACCTCTTTCGTGAACCTATCCCGGATCCTGCAGTCCTAATTAGTCTTTATTGAACTCTTCCAAGATTTAGCTCTCAACTCCTTGGTCGCACTCAACACAGACTTTACTCTCAAGGATATCCTGCCTTGTTTCATATGTTAATTTTTTCTACCCTTGTAGTTTGTAATTTCTGTAATTCAAGGATCATAAACAATTTATACTCTCACTAAAAGAGCAAAGTAGTTCTCATTTTCCTTTATCATCATTAACACTTGAAATTATTTGACTTTTAAATATTGGCAATATGGTGGATGTAAAGTAGTATCTTGTTTTAATTTTCCTTTCATTACTAGTGAGGCTGGACATCTTTTCCCAGGGTTCCTTCTCTGTGAATTGCTGATTCATATCTTTTGTCTTTTTTAAAAATTGCATTTTCTTGTCTTTTTCTTGTAAATTTGTGGGAATTTCTAATATATTCTATACAGTGAATTTCTAATATATTCTGACATATTCTTATGTCAGAAGTTCAAGTAATTTGGTTGTAGAATATAAGGATCATAAACTAGTTATAGCAACTGTAACCCAAATGTCAGAGTCTAGAGCAGTGAATTCTGATAAGGAAGAGGGAGTGGGAGGAGAGAGGTGAGGTGGGGGATGGGGTGAGGTTAGACAGACTAGGAAGTAATGTAATCCTGGCAGGGTGTAGGTGTGTGTAGTTTTGAAAAGACATTGAAGGAAGTCAGAAATGTCGTTTCATGCTATTGGTTTTAAGTTACAAATGATTGATAGGTTGAGCAATTTTCGAGGTTACAAAGTAGAAGCTTGAATTAAAACCATCTGTCCAGAAGGAGAACCTGAGAACTTACCGGGAGCGATGTTAGGAAGAGATTTATTATTATGGCCATACTCTCAGGAAAAGCATGAGACCGTATTTGTGACTCCCTTCAATGTGCGATGCCAGTGATGTAGTTCATTTTTGTTTTAGCTGGCTCAGGCTCCTGGTAGACCTCTGACAGCACCTCATAACATTGCCTAGCTAGTGGAGCTATATTCCAGAACTGCAATGCCAGCTGCCTTCCTCTTTCCTGACATGAATCCAGCCCAGAACTGAAGGCTTGCCTCCAGGCCCCCTCCATAAAGAGGACTTCCTATCCACCATGCCCACGATGATTTCTTTTTTTCTCTTTTAAGTCCACTGGCCTTATTACTTATTTGCTTGAACATAAACTCTTCTCTTTATAGATGTTTATTCTCTTTCCCCAACTGACCTATGAGAGAATGACAAATGATGTGGGGTCAGAGTTCATATCTCTTAGCTCTGGGTTTCCTTGTAGTGCTTTGCACATAACACCGTAGTTAGTCCACTTCTGACATGAGGTGGCCGGGCTGGGAGAAGAGGCAGTGGGAAAGGGGAGGACTCACTTTTGGACTCTTGCATAGTAGCAGTAAGATTGGAACAGTGTGTGGAAAGCTGACTGGGATTCCCTAACTTCTTCAGTCCTAGTGCTACATAAATAGTTATAAAATCACCAACAATAGACAGGGCAGTTAAAATATTCTTTGGGATTGACTGGAGGTGGGGGACAGAGCTATGTCTGTAAAAAAAAAAGTACTGTTAAGAAGAAGAAGGGAAGAAACCGCTTCACTCAACACAGGTCTCTGGATTTTTCTGTCATGCTTTATTCTAAAAATCACCCTCAGCTTTCTCATTAATAGAGAAGCGAAATCTACATTTCCTGCCACGGCCTTACAGAAGGTTTCACATCTCCTTTGGCGGCCAGAGCAGAGACCGAGGCATGAGAGGGAACACTACTCAGCCTTAGCACACTGGTGGAGGGCCACACCAGTGTGGGCACAGGACCACAGAGGGAACATCCTGGTGCCAGGGCAGGCTTTGTAAACATTGAAAAGGATCGCAGGACCTAGGCCCTGCAAGGCCAGGTTCCCTCCTACCTAGGGGATGCTAGGCAGAATGCGCGCGCGCGTGCGTGCGTGCGTGCGTGCGTGTGTGTGTGTGTGTGTGTGTGTGTGTGTGTGTGTGTACGCATGCGCACGTAGGAGAATTCACAGTTTGAACTGTTTAAAGAGAAAGTGGAAGAGATTCTGGTTCTAAGAGCGGAAGAAATCCTGAGAACAGGAAGACTCGGATGGATCAGATGACTCTTCCCTTTCTCCTTTTTTCAGCAGAAACCACCACTAGCTACCTTAATGTGGGTCATCTCAATCCCAGGAGGTAGTGAGTGTTTGGGCATGCTCAAGTGTGTGTGAGTGTGTACCTCTAGACCTTGCGTGTGTATCTTTGGACCTGTTTCCAAAACTGTAAAATGAGGACAATTAACAGATCTTTTAAGATTGAATGAGACAGCATGTAAAGGGCCTGCATAGCACATATCTGTCACAAAGTAGAAGCTCAACAAATTTTGGACTCCCTACCCCATTTTCTGCCCACTCCAACATACTTGATGGTTTATGAGAGGAATTAGAAAACAATCTTATAACTAGGATGGGGCTGAGGGTGGCTTGGAAACATAGGCACAGCCTCAGTTAAGCTCAGTTACACAAAACAAATCTTTTGTTTCTGATATTCATCTTTTGGTGCGTGTTTTCTTTTCCCCTTCCATTTTCTTTAAAGATCAGAAATTTTAGGGAGTCAGGAACTTTGGGGGAGGACAGATAATTATGGGACAAAGGGCTCCGTCCTAATCCTTTCGTTTAACTCTGTCTTGTCCAAGGAGAGAAAAGTAGGAAAGCTTTATCTTATTTTTCTGGTGGCTTCATAATGCAGGGACCTACCCAGGGTCAGAGGGGACCAGTGGAAGGAAACACACAAGGGAGTTTCAAGTTTGGTAGAGACAGGTGAGCTTTGGGCACTGGCCCATCACCAGCTATTTATCAAGGAGTGTAAGTGGAGTCACTCTGCGGTCTGCCCTGAGATGGTTCAGAGTGTAGGAGGATAGGGTGCCCTGGCTCCAGAAAGCAGAAAGGAGGAAATGATGCTCAAACAAAAGAACTGGAGGCCCATGGAGGGATGTTCAGGCCTCTGAGGGATGTCCTTGACCTTTGAGGTGGAGCTACTTTCCTTAGCTGCTATCTTGCCTTGAGGCCAGAGAGAACCTTGCACTCTCCCTGTGATTCTTTCCTTCTCAGCAGCCTTGCCTCTGCCACCTGCCCCAGAAGGGCCCCGTGTCCTTTGTTTTCTGGGTGATAGGGCAGAACAAGGGTTATGTAATATCTTCCTAAATAACTCCCTTTAAGGAACAAAAGAGGTTATCTAGGCTCAGTCTTTGGGGAAGACATTGAGAGGAAACAGTTAAACAAGCAGCAGTCCTGGCCACATGCATCCTAGGAGTACTGGGAGTATTCTCTCCACTGACCCAGGGAAATCCACCCACAGGAA